CCAAAACTCTTAATATCGCTCTTCATTTCTGCCGTATTTCATGAGAAGAGATGCGCCAAAAATGAATAAATTCTGGAGAAAGAGAGCGACTCCGGGGTACTTATATTTGGCGTCTTCCTGGACATAGTTCTCGAATAGTATCCAAACGGATGCGATCACTGACACGAAAGCCATCACAAAGCCCACTAACAGCCATAGGCGAGCCGTCTGTGGTCCGCAACAACCCTCGCTATATGAGTGGCCATCGATTTGTTCATTTGTCACCGTATTTATCATAATCAGTGCAAATGTCGAGCAAATGCCACATATATAATACGTGTGGTTGAAGTATCCGCTTTCGGGATAACGGGCCGCCACGTCTGTGCCGTACATTAAAAGTAGATTTATATCGTATTATAAATAATAATTCAATGATTATTCATATAATTCATACCAAATATAAGCCACCAGCCCGTGAAGAACAATAACCCGGACCCAAATGAAGCCCATTCGTTGCGCTTTTCACTGAAATCAAACAAACCTTTAAACTTCTCCACCACTACATCCATGTCCTCGCGCCATGCCATGTTTATTTTATTAGTATTTTATAATAATTTTAATATTTTATAATAATTCCGATTGTAGTGTTTGATTAAAAACAGTTGTCAAAATAAATCGGAGTTTACATTAAAAACAATGAAATACAGTATATTTAGCTCACAGTCGAGTCTTAAGATAAGTCACTAATCATTAGTTTCTATGGTTAGTCGCTTATCGGACTCTAAATGACTAATGTTTGTATAGAAAAGTTGTTTAATTTATTATTAACATTGCATTTATTGAAAAATTCTAATTATTTTCATAAAAAACTAATATTTTCATTAGTCATCTGAGATACAATAATTACAAATCATTACATTTTATGATTCAATATACAGTACAATGTATTGCAAGTTATTATAAATAATAAGTGATTCATAACAATTCGTAAAATGTTTTGTTGATTTATAAAAATTAAAATATAATTCATTAAATGTGAAATAATTAGTGAATTCAATGATTACAAGAATTAGAAACATAATGAGATTTATATATAATCCAAATGAAAGCCTTTGCGTCTGTTATTAATATGAGC